CACAACCTCTGGCAGTATGTGTCTGTTGATTCATGCCAATTTTTTTTTTTTTTTTTTAAAAACTGAAATTGGAGCAGCTGACAGTAATAGCAATGGGAATTCTAACAAACTCTTTAGGCTCATCATCCTGTGAAGGAGAGCTGAGAGAAAATGTGGTCAGTTTTATTGACTCATGTTAACCTAACTTCCATTGTTCACTTCTGCTTAGCGTCCCAAACCACTATTCAAAGCTCAAACTGAAATTACATTTCTGGATTAATAACCAGCACAGGAAAATAAATCACATCTGCCCAAGGAGTGAACCCTAACCAAAAGCAGCCACAGAGAGGAATTTTTTAGTTGAGCTTGGAGTTCCACTTTAATTCTGAAGGAAATGAACCTTTAAAAAGAAAATTCAAACAATAATATATGTAGACAAAACATTCATCTACAAGGCTGTAATTAATTTGGGGCCTCGTAAAACTCTCCCCACCCCCCTAAAATGGTCATCTACCAGAGCAGAACTTCTCTGATAAGATGGCCTAGGGCCAAATACAGAATAATAAAGTCATTTATGCTCAGGCTTCATCAAATCCTTGGGTATACTTTCATTTCCTAAATGAATATCCACCATTCAGACTTATATCTAAAACAAGATTCTAATAAAGAAGAAAACAAACCATCTGCCCACCGGCCCCTCTGCCACTTTCTTCTTTCCATCTGAGTTTAAGGTAGTCCAGAAGAATGGCAACTTCTAAAGACACAAACTAACACCATTCTAGACAGACATGCCAGGCGGGCTATAACATAGTCTGGCCATACCTGATGGGGCACCACACCAGGGCAAGGCCAACACGCTCTTTTCTAGGGAGGCCAACACAAGGGACCCTCTATGGACGGATACAAGTTCGCCCCTCTACCACCCAAGGTCAGAGGAGACACTCCCACATAGTGGCAGCAATGGTAATATCTGCAGAACACCTTTGCATCTACAGTACCGTCTAACAGAAACATGAGAACCAAAGATGCAATTTTTAATTTTCAATTACTTTTAAAGTCATATGAAACAGACAAAATCAATGCTGTATTTTTTAATAACCCAGTGCATCAAAAATATTATTTTAACATCTAATCAATATTTAAAACATCACTAATAAGATATTTTACTTCTTTTTCATACTCAAACTCAAACTCACTGCCATTGAGTCGGTCCCGACTCACAGCGACTCCTCCTTGGGTTTCCAAGGCGGTATTTCTACGGAAGTAGATTGCCCAACCTTCCTTCCAAGGAGTGGCTGGTGGGTTGGAACCGCCAGCCTTCTGGTAAGCAGTCAAGTATCTTAGGTACTATGCCACCAGAGTTCCCTTTTTCATACTAAGTCTTTGAAATCAATTATTTCACAGTAATAGTACATTTAGACCAGCCACATTTCAGATGTTAAGCTGCAATATGTGACTACTGGCTACCAGACTGAACAAAATGGGCCTATGAATAAATGAAAAGACTGCCATTAATACTCCTACTATCCAGTAAAGTAACTATAACTAGAGACATTAATTCCATAGGTATAAAAAAGGCTTTATGAACAAAAGAAAACAAAAAAAAAGGCTGACTTATTTGCCTCAAATTAAACCATGACTAAGCCACTCCTTAGAAGGAAGGTTGGGCAATCTATTTCCGGAGCGATACTACCTGTGAAACCCAAGGAGGAGTTGCTATGAGTTGGGTCTGACTTGATGGCAAATAACGACAACAACAACAAAGGTGGAAAAAGTTTCTGGTCATCCTGAAGTCTAGAACTTGCTACAAAAGATCAAGCTTTCCATGTATGTACATTTATGAAATGAAACCATGTCTACCAGGCTTTCTCATTAAACTGTGGAAAACTGCCAAATTTCCATTTAATTCAAATTAATACCAAATTTTTTCAGCCATATATTCTCACTTACTCTTTCCCAGCTAGTTGGCAACTTCATTTCCTTTCCCAGTAGCCTACTCTAGTACCTTCTTTTCTATTTTATCAAGAGCTGGGCCAAACAAGTCATGCTTCAACTCTACAGCTGTAAAATATATAGGGAATTCTGAATAAAACTGTACTAAGGCTCTTAGGTATAAAGAAAAAATTACCAGATTACATATAAAAATTCACATAATATTAACTTCTAACCTCAAAGTAACCAGTTAAATTTTTAAAAAGGAAAATCACAAAGAGTAAATTATCAAATCATAAATAATAAAATTTTAAGTTGAACTTTCAGTCTGACAAAAAGTCTCAAAATCCTGAAACAACCAAAACTACACAAAAAAACAAAATCAACTTACGAGTCTGCCCTAGAAGAGAACCTAGGGCACAGATATGAGTAAGATTTGGAGCCTCAACAAACCTAGATCCAACTCCTAACCCAACTCCTAAGTACGTACCTTGGGCAAATGATTCAAACTTTCTGAGCGTGCATTATCATCTGTGAAAAGGTTAGTGCAGGCCCGGGCAGTGTTTCCTTCCAATGCACATGGGGTCACCATGAGTCAGAGGCCCACTTGATGGTAGCTAACAACTCCCTCTCTTAATTTAGTTATTGTGAACACAACATGAAAGATAGAAATTAGCACAGTATTTGGGATCTCATTAAATGATAGTTAACTCCCAGTTCTCCAATTCCATTTATTTCTTTAATTTGTGAAGCATAGGAAATACAAATCTGAATGTAGAACTCTAATTTCACTTAGAAATAGGAGCCCTATAACATAAAATTTTCTTTCTGTTAGTCTGCTCAGAATGGGTACAATAAACAGTTCAGCAACACGCTACCAAGAACAAAACTCTGTAAAAGAGCACTAGTAACTGCTGTCCTTCATGGTGCAACCACTCCGTACCTCAGTTCCTCCCTCATATCCAGCATACAATGCCAGTATAACTGTGAAGAGCACTGTCACAGAGGGATGCACAGGATACCCAGGGAGCCCAGGAGGGCAGCACTCAGTCCATCTGGACAGAGGTCACAGAAGGCTTCCTGAAGGAGGTAACCACCTGATCTGAATCAGGTGGCAAAAAAAATGTTGAGGAAAACAGTGCGGGCGGTGGGGGTGTGTGACAGAGGGAAATCTAGAAAAAAGGAGCATGTGAATGAAGACAGAGGATGTGAAACAACACAAGGTAGATATAACAGCTGGAAGAAGGTCCTATTCTAGGAGTATAAAGTGCAGCTGGGTGCAAGAGGAGACCAGACCAGGGGAGCAGACAAGGTGAGGCTACAATGGGCTCCAGATGACAAAGGAAGAATCTTTATCTTGGTGGTGATGGGGAGGACAAAACAACATGGCTTGTCATCAGAAATCAGAGAACTGGCATGAGTGAAAAAGAGGAAGGAAACCTGTGGTGGGAAACCAAAGACTGAAGGTCACACTAAATGACAGCAGATCAAAAGAAATGGATATTGTCATAATTAACTTACCCAGCATCTCTGCCATCCTTTCTGGAAAGCATTAAAACACATGGAGAAAGAAACATTTTATACTGACTTTGATAGAAAAGAGTCACTATTAAATATCCTGGAGTAAGAAATTTTGGTAAAATAGCATTTCACTGAGAAGACTACCCCTAAGCTTGGGCCTTCCTAATTAATACCAAAGTAGGAAACCTGAGTGTGGTATCAAAGAAAAATCAGCAACAAAATTCCAATACTGTTAATTTTCACTGGCCTCTGAACCTTAGTACCACACAGAACTGTTCTCCCACAGGGCAAGCAAGGAGAGATTAGAAGGGGGTCAACTTTCCAAACAAGTATCTTATCCTGCAAAAATATTTTTCTGAGGATCATTAAAAAGAGAAAATAACTCAAATCATTCCAGTTATTGTTTATCATGTAATTGGGTTCATAGTACCTTTTTTTAGGTTGGAAAAAAATAAATGGCCTCTGAAAAATGTACCATAGAAATGGCAAATGCTACAGAGAAGACAGAATAGTAATAGAAGTGAAGTTTAAGGATCAAGACACCATGAAGAATTCTAGGGGAAGTCCAATTCTAGGGAAACCCGGTGGGAAAATAATTAAAAAGACAGAGGATTAAAAGTAGAAATGTATGACCTTCCAGGAAATCATGTTATTAAAGGTTTAAATTCTTTTCTTCTTTTTTCTATTCATAGTCTACAGTTCTAGAGTACTCTAAATAACTAGATGCTATAGATAAGGAAAAGTAACTCAGAGACTAAAGAATATCAGGGAATAATGTTTGTGATTCAACATCAAAACTTCTTGGCTAGGTTACAGCCCATCATGGGGACTGCAGTCTCTTCCTTATAAGATTAGTTTTCTTGCTTCTTGGGTTTCACATTAAGTCAGTCAATCTCTCTCCAAAAGACACAGTTATTAATCACTTAACCAGTTGTTAATTATCGCTAATTCTTTTTTTTTTTTTTTTAACTTAGTATTGTGATTTGGGTGAAAGTTTATAGAGCAAATAAGGTTTTAAGTGTCTCTACTTCAGATAGATAGATAGGGAGAGAATGAGGGAAGGGAGGAGAGAAGGAAGGGAAGGAAGGAGGAAAGAAACTGGAATCAAATGTCTGCATAAAATCACTTTCAAAAATAAGTGAAAAAATTGCCTAAGCCAACTTCAGAAATCTCCAAAAATTTATAAAATTACGTAAGGCTAGTCTTGTAACTTAAGAGGCAGAAAAGTCTATTTTTGTTCGACGTGCATAAAGAGATACAAGAAAGAAAAAAAAAATCCATACGTAGGATTCAATCATAAAGATAAAGTCATCCTTTGGCCAATTATAGGACAAAACAATCAGTGGACAAAATAAAAAGAATACCTGTGAAAATATTTCTTTCTGTCAAGTGGACATACAAGAACACATGAGGCTAGCACTACAGGTACATACCCAATGATCTTGCACACAAACTCCTGCTCAGTTCACACTTAGATCCCAAAGCAGCCCTGAAGCAATTTGTGTAAAGTGCCCACTTCAATAACCAACCCATGTCCCATTCTAGGAGATTTGTCACATTGCACTTACCAGTCCACTGAGGGGGGCAGCGGCAGTTGTAAGTATTGACTCCATCCACACAAACCCCTCCATTCTGACACTTGTGGTTAGGGCAGTCGTCAATATTCCGCTCACAGGTGTTCCCTTCAAATCCTGGTAAGAAAAGAACACAAGACAGTGACGGACATGGCCATCAGAACAAGCATCGCTCATTATTTCAGTTCAGTAATCAGCAGCTGCTCAAACCAAAACTTACACTATTGGGGGAGGCCGGGACCATTTCCCTGTCTTCTCAAGCCCCAAGCACAGCCAGACAGTGAAAATGAATCATTTTATCAATGTATTAATTACAGTTGTATCAATTATAGTTACCTCACAAAAATGTCAGTGTTTTCAGGAAATAAAATCCCAGAGAAGGTAAATGTTTACTTGGGACAGATATTCACTGTTTCTGAAAAACAGTGTTAGATTGCTCTAAAAGAACTCTACTGGTACAGTGGATAAGCACTCGGCTGCTAACCAAAAGGTCAGAGGATCTAATCCACTAGCCACATCAGGAGAAAGATGTGGCATTCTGCTTCTATAATGATTACAGCTCTGGAAACAGTTCTACTCTGTCTTATTAGGTTGCTATAAGTATGAATTGACTAGACAGCAATGGGTTCTTTGTGTTTTTTGATTTTTTTTTAGATGTCTCTAGGCCCAGACTAATGGGAAGAACAGACAAAAGCTAAACTTAATCAAATTTAAGTTCCTTTTATTTTTCCCAAGATGAATGCTCAAAGAGGCTTCCAAAACTCAGTGGAGGTGGGAGGGGTTAGATAGGAAGAATATTGAACTAAAAATATGAAAATATGAGTCGAGTTCCAATCCCATCACATACCAGCTATTTAACAAAGAGTAAGTCACAAACTCTGTATTGGTGTTCTTATCTATAAAATGAAGTTGATTCTATCTGTCCATCCTACCTTACTAGGTTGTTGTAAGTTGTCATGAGTAAAGTGCTAAACAAATGTAAAAAGCCATATGAAAATGGAGTGGCATTATTACTATTGAACTTTTTTCTTTTATTTTTTTAGGATTTGGGTGAAGATTTACAGAGTAAATTCACTTTTCATACAGCAGTTCACATATACTTTGTCTCATGTCATTGACCAAAATTTACAATGC